AAAGAAAAATATATATATAAAAGGCTAGGTCTTCAATAGCAAAGAGGAGATAATTAAAGCGGTTAATGCTTAATTTGTTAAGCTGAAAAACCAAAATTTTGAAGACTATTTTCAGAAGTGGATCAGTAGCCTTAAGAAATGCTTTCAAATCGATGGTCATTATGTTGGGAATATTAAAAAGAACAAAGGTTACGAATAAATACAAAAAGATATTTTTCTCATTTCTAGTCAACTTACCGAACTTTTGTTAATCCCCTCGTATTGTTAGGCTTTCAACGACTGTGGCTGTGAAATATCGGACAATGTCGTTCGTTACTCCTTTGACTGCCAGGCACATGCAACATTTTCCTTTAACCATACAGGCCGCCTGCCAGTTGACGTACATACATACCGCACATATCATACAATGGTGAAAAAAAATAAACAAACTATAAAAAATTATGGAACTAATTAGAATATAAAAAGTGATTGCCTGCCAACGTCATTTCAGTGCACAACAAATTTCTTGCACACCACACAACGAACTAATAACAACTTCTTTTTCGTTAGCAGGTTGCCAATTTAAACAAGTGCCTTTACAAACACACAGAAACATACATATGTACATGTATATATGAATACTAGTTAAAGTATGAAATAAAACTTAACTTAACTAACTAGTTAATTTGACTTTTTTCACACATTTATATATTCTGCTTTGTAGTTCAACACCTAAACGTAGCTTCAGCTTCAGTCAAATGGCCGATATACGATTATTTATCGTTTGCAAACACGTTACTTCGCAGCGAGTATGAGTGCTCATTTTTAAGTATTTATTCTTTCGTTTTTTTTTTTTGTTATTTTTTTATTATTATTTTATATTTTTTTGTATTCGCGTAAAAGCATAAGCGTAACCGTTGAGCGCCACACAATCGGACAAACTACGTAATAATAATACACAGTAATAAAAGCAATTGCGATCGTCACGCTAGGCGTCAGCCAAACGCACTTCGAAATTAAGGAATCCCAATGCACTAGCCACCTCAACTTCTACCCAAACCGTACATGTATATACATACATACATACATACATACAAACATACATACATACCGTAGGTACGTTTGTAAGTAAATATGCGTATAAGTTTATTTTAGACAAGCAGTACATGTACATATGTACGTACGCATATATGTATAAAACATTGAGGTCCCTTAATATGCAACGAAATAGCCAGGTAACGTTGGCCGCCTGACCGCAGTTGACGCATTTACCGTAAATGAGTTGAAATGTTGGTAAGGATAACAATACCATCGACATTGCGCTATTTTGCCGCAATGGCAAACCATTAACATTGATGGTGGCGCATATTCGGCTGCCACTGCCAACGCCAGCAACATTGCGACTGTGAATTTGACGTTGCCGGCTGAGGTAGTAAAGAAATACAGTTGACGGTCACTATCGCCAATATTATCGCTATTACATTTGTACATACGTACATACATACATACGAGTATACAATATAAATATTGAAAAAGGCACAAAGAAAGAGTTCACAGATGACTTACATTTGAATATTCGACTGAGTGGGTATTGTTGGAGTTAAGAGGACAAACGTATGTACATGTATGTATATGTATAAATATACACGCATACGTATCCTGCATATTAGCTGCAAATGTTTTTAAGCGAAAGGTTTTGTATAAAATATCAGTTAATAGCTTAACGCTGCAAGTGCGATAAAATTTATCATTAATCATTAAATATTGCCTTTTATGAAATTAATAGTATGTGGAGATACATAAATACATCCATATATATATATATACGCGTATATATGTATGTATAAAAATGTTTCTAGTAGAAAACTACATTTTTTGTATATATTTATATGCATGCAGTAGGTGTGCTTTTACGGTATAATTGGCTGATATGCATTTGAACTTCACCGTCGGCGGACTTTAACATTTTAATCTCCATTTTATAAAATTAAAGAAGTTTCCTATTAAATAATGGTTGCAACAAGTGTAGATCGTATAAAGTAGTTGTTTGCACTTGCGTCTGCTTCATTTCTTCTCCATGTGCGCATGATTTGTCGATCATATAACGTCTCCAACTCTGAAAAGCTATAGAATTTTTTTTTTTGGTGGCTCGAACCCGGCACTGAGCAACTTCAGAGAGTTATAGAACAAGTATTTTTTGACTTTGTTGTTGTTTTAACGGCTATTAAGCTTCGCTAAAGGGCAAACAAGATTAGTTTAAGCCATCGAACTCATCCAACGAAAGGTCGGGCGAAGGTGCTGTTTCCACGGGTTCGGTATAGAAGGAAATGGGGTTTGGATTAGTAGGTTTACAGAGGCATGCAAAGAAGTAGTTAGTGTGGCGCGAGGTCTCACCGGGGTCAAGTCTGGATAAGTAAGAATTTAGCCGACTACAATATCCAGATCGTAATAATGCGAGAGGAAAACGTATTTTCTTTAAACCTTATTGCTCTCTGAAATCATCAGAGTGTACCACCAAAAAGGGATGCCTTGGGGCAAATACTTTTCATAAGATCGATTTACTTAGTCCTAAAATCTAAGTTAGTCCTGAGCTATTGTGAAGCTTTGTTCTAATCATTCCAAGAGGTGGGAAAGATCGGCGAGATAGCAGTTTTCGTTCGAACATAAGACATCAATATCTCTATGTTTTTGTTGTTATAGCCGCAAATATATTCCGCGCGAGCGCGGAAGTCCATGGTCGCATTAATATCCGGGTCGTTCCGGTATAAAGACCCGACTGTCGCGGGAACGTTTGGAATCTAGTCGCCTCTTACAAAATGCAAGACTTATCGCGGAAAAACTCTTAAGCTCTTATGCCGAAGGGGTCCTAGTCTCTCTCACGACACCCTGTTCAACTCACGGGATTTTATCCGGCCATGAGCTGTCACCCTGTTCAACCAGAGGGGCATGGTTTTAATTCCACTTAGAACTCGTCTATAGGAGTTCCAGATTTATCAAACTCGTCAGCTGTTTCCTTTCTTCGGCCATAAAGTCATCGTAGCAGTTGGCTAACTAAGAGTTCGGTGCCGAGAGTATGTTAACACCTTCTTGAACTCTCTTCGGAGCCCAATCCCAACTCATTCCAGACGAAAGACGGAGCTGTCTCTAGAGTCCCGAATAATACTGCGGCAATTAAGAGCTGGTTATTTTAGTTGACTAAATTTGAAGTGAAATGAAACCCCACATAAGACACTAACAGCCAACTCATCTAACTCTCTTTCACCCGTCGAAACAGCTTCCATGTCATTATGCAGCAATAATAAATCTAGCTAATCGTTTTTCCATTACATCGTCCAAACTAATCGACTTTCACATCAAACTATTTATTACCTTTTTCCACCACACAAGCGATCTTCTCGATTTTTCGCTTTCCTTGATGTCACCCATATAAAATTTCGGTAGAAACCACATAACATCCAATTCAACCATTTCAAATTTAATTTAATTTCCCAAACCAACCCGCCCTACAGCGTATCCAACTACTTGTGCACAATAATCTCGGTACATTTTCGAACGAATTGAAAATCTTTTATTATTCTCGCCATAAGGAAGCTGAAAATCCGCCCAAACAGAAACGCACCACAACAACGCTCCACTGCGAATTCAAGGCGCATCAAAAGCCAGGCAAACCAAACGATCGATCCCACGAAGCATTCATAATCGATTACAGAGAATCTCAGATCGAACGAAACCTGTAGTGAACTTCCACTGCAAATGGAAATCAAACTGCGTTAGCGGCAATAAACAAAGCCAAGAAGAAGCTAAAAACAAGAAACTACGTGCAGCACAGCCAGGCTATGTATGAGGAATAAAATATGCAAGCAAAATGGCAGGCGCTAATGGCACAAAATATTGCGAAAGCATCAGTAGGAGCAGTACAGATAAGTATAGAATATCATATGCCTGCATGTACATATGTATGTACATACGAGTATGTACGAGTACATAATAAAAGGACGAATTGACATGCCAGTGGGCGGTGTAAGAGTGTTGACAATTCCGTTGTTCGCACCAACTGCGCATTGACCTTCGGCAATTGGGTTGCACGACAGGCTTACGTCGAGGTATCGATCATCTGTTAATGATCGCAAATGACCTTGTCGCGTCGTAAGTGAATTGCAACAATACAAATAAAGCAAAAAAACAAAAACGGGCAACAGGCAACAGGCATAAGGCATACTCGTATAATAAATAATGTGTGCAAGTACAAGTACAAGCAAACAAGCAAGGACATTACGAGCACAGGATATGTACATGCTGGCTGTGTTGTGTGACTGTTGCAAACCGAAATGTTTTCAAACAGAAACTGGAAAATGTTTGCATACAACGTGGCGAGTGCATGTCGATTGAGCTATTAAAGCACACAGCGTGTGGCAGGCAGTTAAATAGTTTTATGGATATACGAGTATGACATATATATATATATATATGTATGTGTGTGTAGGTGCGAACAGGCATACAAACTACTACTTAATTCTCTGAATGTGTACGTGTTTGGCAAATTTCTAAGACAAGGCTACACAAGATGGGCAACGCGCTCATACAATGGTGAGCAACATTTTTAAAATTGTGAAAATATTTTATATTACATATGTATATGCCTCTACCTGTCTATGGAAAGTCTTTGTTGTAAATAATATAATGATCTTATGGTCCATAGAATGGAAGAGTTTACTTTCGCAGAAATGTTCTAGGCACGCGAAAATATTGAAACTTAATTATTAGTATTGGATTGTATTTACGAAAATCCATTTTTCGTGGAAAATTTAAATGAAAATTGAATTTAATACATACCTATGAACCTTGGTGTTCTTATTGTTGTTGAAGCTTTTAGCTAAGCCCTTGACTTTTAGATCATTTTTATTTGAATCTGAGAAATAAGTGTCACCCTGTAGCTGTGTCTTGATGTTGGTAGGTGCGATTTTCTACAAAAAAAAATACCAAAGCCGCTGTCAGACATAGCAATTTTCATTCAATTTTTATTTCCTTTAGATAATTTACTGTGAAAATTTTCAATTGCGATGTGTGGCCACTCTGAAATTGGCTTCTGCAATTGAATTTAACTTGCAGCGTGTGCTGTACTCATTTATTTGCAATGTAAGTTCTGAAATTAAATTTCAAATCGTTTTCTTGAAAGTCCAAGTCAGATTAGTTTAGTTTTATCGAAGAAGATTTCTGCGAAAATGTTGTGAAATAAGCTAATGTTCCAGAAACTGGTATTCAATTTCCATAATTTTTTTATGTACATGTCAATAAAGTTTGATACAATTTTTTAGCTAGGAACAGGACTATATTTTTCCAAAGGTCTTTGAGGTGCGTAATCCCAAACTGAATTCACAATAGTTCCAGCATCTACAATTTTCAAACATTTAAAATGGCGGATTCAAAATGGTGGAGGATTTTTTAAGAATTATTTGCATTTTCCCTAAGGGATTTTTGGGGTTGCTGATTACAATCGGATTTCATGTCGGCAACATCAAAACTCTTATGAATACTCAAAATTCAAATATTGGTACTTATTTTCCTGTATATTTTCAAAGTCTTATTTATTGTTCTACACAATTTCTGAAGATTGACGAATTTGACAAACTCAGTAAATTCAATTGACGATTTTTTTTTTAATAATTCAAAATGGCTTTTGAGGAGAAGGTACTTTCAGGTGGAATAACGATCTCATAAACTTGACGTGCAAGAACTGTTTTCAATCGAGTTTCGGGTTCATGACCACGACCGTTTGCACTCGATGTTGCCGTAAGTGACCCATTTTTGATCGCCAGTCACAATCCGCTTGAGCAGCGATTCGCAGATGGAAATTTGGTCCATCATGTTTCTTTGCATTAGTTCATGTAGCACCCAAGCATCGAGCTTCTTTTTGAACCCAAGGTAATGCAAATAGTTCCCAACGGTTTTCTGGCTTATCTTTTGCTTATCTTTAGTTCCTCAGCCCGGTCTGTTTCAACTATTTTCATGATTTTATCGCGATTTTCGACGACAGGCCTGCCAACGCGTGGTACATCTTTGACATCGAAATTACTGGAACGGAAGCTAGCAAACCACTTTTGTGCTACACATTCGTTTAGAGTATCGGGCCCATAAACCAAATTAGTTTTTTCAGTCGCTTTGGCTGCTTTTTCGCCTTGATCGTATAAAAATTGTAAAATATAGTGAATTTTCTATTTGCTAGTGTCCATCTTTGACGAGCGCCCACAACGAACTGAGTAAATCATTGGAAAAACTGTCAAAGACAAACTTTTAGCTCGAATAAACACGTTTCAACGCCGTACAGTATGACATTGACGACACGTAACACTAGTACTATGGACAATAACGGAACTGCATATTGAAAACTAATACTCGGGAAACTTTATGTGTTGACTTAAGTTATGAGCTAAAAATCTATTGTTTATTATTTGCGAAGGTTGGTTACACTTAGTTAGGATAATCTGTTGTTGTATACCAACAACAGCATTCAACATGCATATGTACGAACAACAATATCTTCCTGTTTGACAAAGAAAATGTTGAACGCGCCTACTAAATCATTTATGAAATGAACTAAAAGCATTGTAATAAATCAAAAACAATATGATAAGTAATACAAATAGAAAAAGAAAAATGATTTTTCCCTCACTACTTTCACTACTTTAAGGTATATAATATTTTCCTTCAACTAAATTTGACGCAAAGTTGTTGTATTACTAATAGTATAAACACTAATCGACATAAACGTTCAGTATGCAAATAGATGCAGTTTATTTTGCACTACATTTCCCAACATTTTTTCTAACGCACGGCGCATGTGCGCATCGGAGGCATGTATGTATATGTCGTTGAGTGTTCTCACCTTGAGTGCATATTCTGTATGTTGTATCTTTGCAATGGTGACAACCGTGATGAGTTCCTTTCGCAGAAATCCTAATTCATGGCGCTGGTCGTCTTCGCCGTTTAACCGACCCGAACAATGGTACATATGGAAGAAACTCGTTTTGTATTCATGTGTTTTTGCATTTGATTAGCCTAAAGCTGATTGACCTTAATCTCCTTGAACAACGCGCTGTTTGAGATTGGGTATTTCCGTTTGACAATAATGACATAGAAGAAAAATTCGATTTATGAAATTAGTGCATACCGACAATAACAGTTAGTATACGGGTATGTACATACCGACGCGGTAGCGGAGTAGTTAGCATTACGTACAGCCATTCGAAAGGTAACGGTTTAAATCCTGTTACGATCAACATCCTAATGCGATGGAAAATTTATTTAAATAAAAAATTATGTTAAATTTTCCGACTTGTGCTGGCTCACTGCAGTTTTTTGCACGACCGGTTTCCGTGGGCTACAGCAACCAGTCACCATTCGCTTCAGAAATAGGTCGGCTTTGTTACGATTCAGCACCGAAACTAGGTCCATAAGGTTCTTTCGCGTTAATTCATATTACATAGGCATGTCATCGAGCATTTTTGTATATCCAGGTTTTTTGATGACGATCAGACTCGGCGACTTCCATTACTTTATTGACATTTTCGATAATTGGATGTGGATTTAACATCAAAATTAACGGAAGGAAATCGGTGAAAATCAAATTGTGCAGAATTGACTATACCTTTATCATGATCATAAACACTGTTCATATTTTCAGTAGCATGAATATATGACACTTTCTCTTTGCTGGTGGCCATCTTTGACGTGCGCTCAAACTGTACTCTGTACACTTCTGCCGTTATCATTTTTAGTAAAAAATAACATCTTTCTAACGCCATCTAGCGTAATCCAATCGCCAGATACCAAAGCCATCTACTGCAAAAAGTAGTGTATTACTTATTACTAGGACAATATGACTGTTGAATTGTATGATTTTTCATATATTTTTTAAAATAAAAAATTAACACCTAAAAAAATGTGGTCAACAGGAGTTTATTAGTTTCAAAAAAAAAAAAAATGAAAATTTCACTTATTGACTGTTCTGCATTTTTAACTATTAACAAATGCAAACTTGATAATCGAATTCAATAAAAGTTATGGACATGAATAATTGAAAATTTCTTTAGTAACAATTAAAAATACATTTTCTGCAATCAAACCAATGGAGGAAACAATATATCCAACAGCTCTTCACATTACCATAATAACCATTCCGAATTTCAGTTCTTCGACAATTTATTGAAGACTCCAGCTACTGGTTTTCTGTCAAAAGATCAAAAGACAAAACAACTTTGGTTTTTAATATATATTTTTTTTTTTAATTTATCCAACTACCTACATACATACGCAGGCATAAATATGTTTTATTATAAGCGTGTAGTGTAAATTGACGTGAAAATTAATGATTTAGCAATTATACGTAAGCAAGACGCAAAGCCTCCCTCCCGTGAGCGAGCACTTGCTTAGTACAAACCGAGCTTAGCTGCTTAATACTAATTCATAAACTTATAAGGTAGCGCAATGCACCCACTGAGCCAATAATAATGAATACTAAACGCAACAAAAATCAAGTTTTGTCTGCAATTTATGTGTCAAATCCCCCCTCTCTCGCTCTCTCTGTCTTCAATTTAAAAACAACACACCATTCTCCAAGCTCAAGGGGGCAGTTAGTAAGTATGTCTGTATGTAGTAAGTAAGTTAATTTTCGGTAGCGTAAAAAAATTAACAACAAAAAGTCATGTTAATATGAGAAAAAATTATGATTCTTACGCTGAAGATTAATAACATATGACTTTGTTATTCATAGCATACCCTGTTACCCTGATACCCTGCAAGAAAACGGTAGACTAGTTACCCTTCAGGAAAAAGTTTTAGATATTAACTAAATTCAACTGCTATGCAGTTTCGCGCTAATTAGTTCATCTTTCGTTTATTTCCCATGTAAGCAGCTGGTATTTTTAATACAGCTGACAATTGTCCGCTTCCGCATCTGCTTTGAACTAGTTGTATACCAGTTCATTTCGGCATGTTGAACTTATATATATTATATATATATTTTATATGATTTCCGCTTTGTAACCGCCGAGGTGATTTTTTCGGTTGAGCTCCTCCTCCAGTTTCTGATTTTGCGTTTTGATCTTTTTTCCAAGAAATGGAGGGACTTACAGTTTGTACTAAGCCGCCTCCAAACGGCTATCGTGACTATGAGGCAATTAACATTATTTTGCGCACTTCAACAGAGCAGAGCAGAGTAGAATATTTAGATATAACAACAATAAACGGTGTTGGAAATTATTACTTCTCCCGTTACTGGTGGACTTCTTTACAAATAACAAACTGGTATGATTTTATCTTCAAAATAATAGTAGTTAACTAGAATTTTTGCATACTAGTTGGTTTTTCCCTGCAGTGCGAATACTAGTATAGGGAGGGCATCCATTTCGTGGTATCAGAAGTACGTCGTTGTATTTTGATATTTGTCAAGCTTAACTGTCAAACCAAAAGTGTTTTTTTTAGTTAAATTAAATTTGAAGAGACTGGATCGGTTACAGATATTGTAAGGTCCGTTTTTCTCGTCCCACCTCATATATGGCTAATATTAATGAAAATGAAGCCGAATTCCTGAATGTGTTTATTTCTCGACGTTCTCAAGAGTTGGGACCCTCTTACAGCACTTTATGGCATATTTTGAACTTGAACTTACACCTACATGTATATAAAGTCCAGCTCAAACAACAACTGACCAACAGGCAGTGGATGGCAATTATTCGAACCAAATTGTCTTCAGCGCCGAGGCATATTTTTCACTCACGGGGGTACATAAATAAACAAAATTATCGTATTTTCGGTTCCGAAAATCCTCAAATAATTGAAGAGATGCCATTACATCCAAAATATCTTACTGTCTTGAGTTGAGTTGAATTGATTCGACTAACCTACGCACTTAGGCCAATGGGCCCATTGTGATACCGAGAATCGTGTCTTCATCTACTCAAATATTCGAACCGTTTCGTTTGCCTTATAAAAGCAACGAAATTACCAATTTTTCCAAGAAGTATTTCCCTAGGAACTTGTGTCACGCAGATGTCAAGGCTGTACAGCGACAGAGGTAGTGTTGAATAGACTCTTACTCTCCAACTCCGCTATAGATATGGCTATCATAAGAGCATAAAGCCCCATCAAACAGTTGCACCTCTTATTACGCCTTCCGGTTTGCGAAAAGACCGTCTTTATTCGGATAAATCTTTAACTTTTGTACACTTGATAACCAAGCTTCGTAAAGTTATGGCAGAGGTACCGACCAACAGGCGCCAAGAAGCGGTCGAAGATTACCTTAAACTAAACGAGTTTTTCAAAAATTCGCGAGGCGGTCATTTATATGGTGTAGTGATTCACATTAATGTCAAGTTTATAATAAAAGAGGAATTTCAAAAAATATAAAAAGGTATTTCAAATGAATGTATTTTAAATGCATTTTGTTTACCTTTACTGCTAAAGAAAACCACATTCCATCGATCAGGTATAAGAGGAGGGTCAAAGGGGAGGCAACGCTCGATTAAAAGAAGGGTGGGAGGTGGCCTGCAAAGCCTAAAATATGTCCACGTATTATACGGACGATCCCTTAGGGCAAAAACTAAAATTAGTTCAATAGTTGGATTCTAGTTAGCAACTAGTATTC